AGGCAGCAGCAGACACCAGCAGAGGCAGCAGCAGGCAGCAGCAAGCAGCAGCAGGCAGCGGCAGGCAGCGGCAAAGTTACAATTTTATATAGTAGGGGTTCAGAAGTGACGTTAGGCCCTTTTTTGGGGTTCCTTTGCTACGTTTTGGGCACGAAATTAGATGGTGTTTTGCTGTTTCGGATGTGTTTCGAAAAGGGTGTCTGGCTGTTTGTTTCTTGCTTTGGAGGCTGTTTGATTGCAGCAGCACCACAGCAGCATCAGCAGCCACCAGCAGCAGCACCAGCAGCAGGCAGCAGCAAGGAGCAGCAGGCAGGCAGCAGCAGGCAGCAGCAGACACCAGCAGAGGCAGCAGCAGGCAGCAGCAGGCAGCGGCAGGCAGCGGCAAAGTTGCAATTTTATAGTAGGGTTTCAGAAGTGACGCCCTTTTTTGGGGTTCCTTTGCTACGTTTTGAGGGCTGTTTGATTGCAGCAGCACCACAGCAGCACCACAGCAGCAGCAGCAGCCAGCAGCAGCCAGCAGCAGCACCAGCAGCAGGCAGCAGCAGGGAGCAGCAGGCAGGCAGCCGCAGGCAGCCGCAGGCAGCTGCAGGCAGCAGCAGGCAGCAGCAGGCAGCAGCAGACACCAGCAGATACACGAGGGAACGCAGCAGGCCGCGCAGACACCTGCACACCCCAAATAAGATGGCAGCAGCAGGCAGCAGCAAGCAGCAGCAGGTAGAGGCAGGCAGCGGCAAAGGTTGAATTGATAGTAGGGGTTTCAGAAGTGGACGTTAGGCCCTTTTTTGAGGGTTCCTTTGCTACGTTTGGGGAACGACATAGGTGGATTTTGCTGTGTCGGATAGTTTCGAAAGGTGTCTGGCTGTTGTTCATTGCTTTGGAGCTGTTTGATTGCAGCAGGCACAACAGCCAGCAGCAGCAGCCCACCAGCAGCCAGCACCAGCAGCAGGCAGCAGCAAGGAGCAGCAGGCAGGCAGCAGCAGGCAGCAGCAGGTAGCAGCAGGCAGCAGCAGGCAGCAGCAGGCAGCAGCAGACACCAGCAGAGGTAGCAGCAGGTAGCGGCAGGTAGCGGCAAAGTTGCAATTTTAAGTAGGGTTTCAGAAGTGACGTTAGGCCCTTTTTTGGGGTTCCTTTGCTACGTTTTGGGTACGAAATTAGGTGGTGTTTTGCTGTTTCGGATGTGTTTCGAAAAGGGTGTCTGGCTGTTTGTTTCTTGCTTTGGAGGCTGTTTGCTTGCAGCAGCACCACAGCAGCACCACAGCAGCACCACAGTAGCAGCAGCAGCAGCCACCAGCAGCAGCACCAGCAGCAGGCAGCAGCAGGGAGCAGCAGGCAAGCAGCTGCAGGCAGCCGCAGGCAGCCGCAGGCAGCTGCAGGCAGCAGCAGGCAGCAGCAGGCAGCAGCAAGCAGCAGCAGGCAGCGGCAGGCAGCGGAACGACATGACACAAGCAGAGGCCGTACAGTACAGTCAGCCGGCAAGAAGCAGCGCGGCAGCAGCGGAAGGAAGCGGGCAAAGTGGCATTTATAGTAGGGTTTCAGAAGTGCCGTTAGGGGCCCTTTTTGGGGTTCCTTTTGCTACGTTTGGGCACGAACATTAGGTGGTGTTTGGCTGTATCGGCATGGGTTTCGAAAAGGGTGATCTGGCTGTTTGCTTCTCTTGCCCTTTGGAGGCTGTTTGATTGCAGCAGCACCACAGCAGTAGCAGCAGCCACCAGCAGCAGCATCAGCAGCAGGCAGCAGCAGGGAGCAGCAGGCAGGCAGCAGCAGGCAGCAGCAGGTAGCAGCAGGCAGCAGCAGGCAGCAGCAGACACCAGCAGAGGCAATAACGCGGCATACTGGCCATTTTGAAAACAGTAGAGTCGGAAAATTGGCACTAGCAAACTGTCGGGTGGACCAATCCTGTAACTGTCTCGTGGTACATTCAAGTCAGTTGTACTTGCATCATGAACATATACATCAGCATTCACACTCTTGTAGCTGGTGCCCAGAAGAAAAAATATTGCGGCCGCAAGGTGGCTTTGCAAGTCGAAAGTCTGTGCTTCTGCCTCGTCCGGCTTTGGCTCCAATTTTAGATGTCTTTGGCATGATCTGCATAGTTGATGTCGTGCTTTCTGCGATGCCATCACAGAAGGTCGCATAGAAAGGTATCCATGAAAAAGCAAATTCAATAGCAATGCTTCAAGCCAGGGGATATCAAAACTAGAACCGCAAAGGCGCCATGCCAGCTTGGCAAATACTGCTTCTGCTCTTCGATCTACATCTTTTTCTGTTCTGTCTATGTTGGCGCTTGTCCTCGTGCTGTCCGTCTCTACGGTTGGTTCAGTTTCACGCACAGTGGTTTGGCGCAACAGACTATCAAAATGATATCCCCTGCCTTGCACAGAGGTGTGATTGTATATATGCAGCTGTAAGGCATGATGCCCGGGGTGCTCGAACCCAAGATGGACAAGAATCTTGTTCCGATCTGGGTCTGCCGTGCACTCACCAAATCGGTCGTGCACACGAATTATCATGTTAGCGCGCGCAACAGCCCGAAATCGTTGCAACAGAAATGTCACAATGTGCGGGCCATCGCGGTGCGCATCTAAATATGGAAAGAATCCCTTCGCGCTTGGAAGTACTGCTTGCCCAACCGCTTGAACCAAATGCTTTCTGCATGCAACTGCACTGCGTCGTCTTGCTGCAACATCTGCGCCCAAGTTGCTTGGCAAAAAACCTTCATACGCTAAGCACAGCATCAAGGAATCGATTAGGCAATTGTTGACGCCGTGTGACAGCGCCTGCTGCCACCTGAACCCTTCAGCTGCCAAAGCCTTTAAAGCTTGGGTATCAGTCATGCTTCGGCCAGGAGCACTTACCTGCGCGATGTCACACAGACGGTCCGCAACTGCAACGCAGTGAGCCTCTGTCGTGCTTGTTTGCAATTCTTTCCAGCCATCCCAAGTGGGCACCCAACTCTGCCCAAGTACTTTTGCTGCGTCCTCTGCTGTTCCAAGTCTAGATAACAGGATTGCTGCGCTTCAAGGTGCGATACATTTCATTGCGTTACATTGCAATGCATTGCATTGCATTACATTGCATTGCATAACATTACATTGCCTTACATTGCGTTGCATTACACTTCATTGCATTGCTTTGCATTACCTTTCGTTGCTCTTCATTGCAATGCAGGGCATTGCATTGCATTACATTGCATGGCATTACATTGCATGGCATTACATTGCATTACATGGCATTGCATTACATTTCACTGCATTGCATTGCATTGCATTACATTTCATTGCTTTTCATTGCAATGCATTGCATTGCATTACATTGCTTGGCATTACATTGCATTACATTGCATTCAATTGCATTACATTGCATTCCATTACATTGCATTGCAGTACATTGCATTGCATTACATTGCATTGCATTGCATTACATTGCCTTACATTGCATTGCATTGCAGTACATTGCATGGCATTACATTGCATTGCATTTCATTGCATTGCATTACATTGCATTGCAGTGCAGTACATTGCATTGCACTACATTACATTGCATTGCATTGCATTACATTGCATTCCATTACATTGCATTGCATTGCAGTACATTGCATTGCATTACCTTGCATTGCATTGCATTGCAGTGCATTGCATTGCATTGAATTGCAGGCTTTCATTTATAGTTTCTTTAGGTCAATTTATGATTTCTTTAGGGTTCATTTTGTGTTTCATGTAGGGGTTTCTGGCAGCAATTCATTCGGGTTTCTTTCGGTTTCACAGTTTCACCTACGGTGTTTAAACTTTCATTTAAGATACAAACAGGAAAGAATAAAACAAAAAAAGTAGGATTTCAATTTCATGTAGGAATTCTCTTGATATTTACATCTCTTAAGGGTTTTATTTCGAGTTTCTTTTGCGTTTCTGTCGGGTTTCATGTAGGGTTTCATTTAGGGATTCTTTCCGATTTCCTTTCGCGTTTAATTTCGAGTGTTATGTGAATTTCTTATCAGAAAATCTTGTCAAGGTTTTCAAACATTCATGTGGGTTTCTTGAGAGTTTCTTTAGAGTTTCATTTCAGATTTCGTTCATGAGGGGTCAAAAAACACGGGGGAAGTCAAACAAACAAGGTGGGGGATCAAAAAAAACAACGCCCTCGTATACTTTCATAAAATATCATGCACCTGTGCGGCGCAACCATGCACCTGTGCGGCGCAACATTAGCTGTATAATAATAGGGCCAAAAATATTGTGTATATATATATCTAACTATTATACTGTTACTTAGATCCATGAACCCATAAAACCATAAGATCAGAGTATTAACATGCACTCAAATGAAAAACCCATTTACACATGAAAATTCAAACCTATCAAATATATTTCACAAGGATGTACATAGCAAAAAGGTCGAGAACCTCAAGGTGCAACGCACCGAAGCGTTTTTCTGCCAGCTTTGCTTCCTTGCCACTTCTTCCGGGGTCGGCGGCAGGGGCGGCAGCCCTTAAATAAAAAGGATATAAAACTAAAAAACAAGTACTGACAAAACAAAAAAAATCTGCTGGCTTTTATAATCCATTTACTCAGTAGCCTCCCACAATCAAACATGGCTAGTTGGAAAATCCTTCATTGATGGGTGAATTTCCCATCAATTCACTGTCATTTTTTCCGTAAATTGTCCAGCCATTTTTGAGTCCCAGAGGGATTCAAAGGGTATAGTGGGTATAGGAATAGAGGGTATAATATATACTGGTTGATGGTGCAATAACCATCTTGAAAAATATGAGTTCGTCAGTTAGGATTATTATTCCCACTACATTATGGAAAAATAAAAAATGAAATGTTCCAAACCACCAACCAGATAATGTAATGTAATACAATAATAGCATATTCCCAACATACCTTCAGTTTCACCAGAGGTTACCATCCTTCCCCCACCATCCCGACGCGTTGCCGGCGTTGCCGACGCCGAGGCGCTCCGCACCAGAGACACGCCGTCACCGCCCGCAGCGCCGCGATGCGAATCTTCGCGTGGTTGTGCGTCAGGCTGGACCTGAGCTCAGCGGGAAAATCATCGTTCGTTTTAGGATGCAACGGGTATTTGATAACTATGGGATGTATGCCCAATATGATGGGATAATCTAGGGATGATGTTCACTATTATAACTATGGGTTTATGGGTTATCACTAATAACTATGGATTATCCCATTTATAGGCATTCCCTAGATTATCCCATTTATAGGCATACATCCCATAGTTATATATAATCTATGATAACCCATAGTTATATAATGGGATAATCTAGGATAATAGTGATAACCCATAGTTATAATAGTGATTAATCCATAGTTATTAGTGATAACCCATAGTCACTGATAACAAACGGATCCCATCATAGTGATTGATATCTTTGATAACCGGATGTATGCCCAATATGATGGGATAACGGATAACGGTGATTATTACATGCCGATACCTTATATAAATGAGATAATCTAGGGAATACTATGGGATGTATGCCTTTCTGGTTGGTGGTTTCAATCCCTCTGAAAACTATGAGTTCGTCAGTTGGGATGATGACAATTCCCAATATATGGAAAAATAAAATTCATGTTCCAAACCACCAACCAGCTTTAAATGGGATAATCTAGGGAATGTAACGTATGGGAAAGTATCGGAATATATGGGAATATATCGTGATCTCTCCGTTGCTCCTTTTTTCCAATCGCTGAGCGGCGTGAGCGATCTGGCCAACGGCAAGGCAAAGTGCAGCAACATCTCCGTGTGGTTGTAACCTCTGCCGCCGATCTCCCCAGGCGGCCCCCATGGCCGGGCCATGGGGGCAGATTGACTTCAAAAAGAGGCTGGGGATCAAAGCCAGAAAAATGCTGGTAGGAATGGAAGATTCATGGAATATGATTGGAAGATTATTGGAAGATTAATGGAAGATTGATGGAATATGATTGGAAGACTAATGGAAGATTAATGGAATATGATTGGAATATTGATGAAAGATTAATGGAAGATTGGTTGACACATGTTGATACCCTCTTTAACCAAACAACGGTGGATGTTTCAGGTAAAAAAAAAAAACTCCATATATTTCCTTCGAGGACGTCCCCCGAAAGGAGCGCCGCGCGCCGCTCAGCTGCCAGGGAGCAGAAGGAAATCATGGTCTCACCTTGGCTCATTGGTGGTACAGTATCAATATTTCAAGGATATTGGTTGCGTTGAAATATCCAATCAACGATCTCATTGGTTGTAACAATCACAATTATTATTTATAGAAACCCTACAGGTGCAAAAGTCCAACCAACCGATATCAATGATATCGACCATCTGGAGAAATTCCAATAAATCCATCAGCCACTCATCATTAACATCCATTCACCAGTTAGAAAAGTAACCAGTCGTCACAACCATTAACTATTTTATCCAACCATCCACCAACATCAACCCATGAACCATTGAGCATCCATCACCATCAAATCAACAACTAGTATTTTTTCATCAATAGTGAAACAACAATTATATCCCCCTTAACCAACCATCAGCATCAACCCTCAAGGGTTTATTATACCATATCAACACATAGTATATAGCCATTACCTAACCTATAACCATTAGAACCATTCCTCATCCATTCACTAACTATCAACATATAGTATATAACCATGACCTAACCTATAACTCACAACCATTATAACATGCCTCATCCATTCACCAACCAACCAAGCGACCAACCGCACCAAGTGACACGCCAAAGCCTTCACCTCGTGGAAGGGATCCATGGCCTGGGCCCGGATCAGCCCAGTGGCCTCGTCGATGTAGGCGTAGATCTGCGTGGGCGAACAGCGCAGCAGCAGCGCAGCGACGAAGTGCCCCAGCTGCAGACGCACCTCTTCGCTCTCCTGAGACTTGGGACGGTTCATAATGGTTTTATTCATCTCATAGATGTTTAATGTCATACAAGTTAGTATCATACTTATTGGAAAAATGTTCGGTTCAATTTATGTGTTATCGTATTTATAGATTCCGGGAGCTGGAGAGATTCTGTGCTTTCTTTGTGGATAAGTTTCTTTTCCAAAACATCATCAAACCACACGAAAGACATATGGTTTGGAAAAAAATGAATGAAACCAAAACAAACACAGAACACAAAAAACAAGTCATTCTCAGTATCTGAGTTGTTTTCATCAACTACATGTTTTCAAAAAAAAAATCGTCCCAGCCCCCCGGTCCGCCGGCCGTGTCCTCCACGGGCTGCGCGATCTCCGTGGGCTTCTGCTCCGGGTCCGGGCGCATGATCTCGGGGAGGTGCGCCACGCCGTCCAGGTCCTGAAGGCACGGCTGTGGCACCGAAATCCAGGGGGAAAACCATGGGAAAACCATGGGAAATCCACCAAAAATGATGGAAATCCATGGGAAAACCCACCCAAAATGGTGGAAAACCATGGGAAAAGCCTAGGAAAAATGCTGGAACAGGGTGGTTGAATGATTGTTTGGAGCTAATTTTGGAGAATTTCAACTGGTTGAGGCTGCAGAAATGGTGAATGATTGGATTGCCTGGTGCAGAATTGAGATTTTCCAACAAATTGGGGAGATTATGGTGGATTTCACTAAGCCATTTCTATGAGGATATCATGGGTTGGAAATGCTGATGATGGTAGAATTGCCCAAAAAACTCATGGATGGCGTTTTTCAGAGCATGGGATCCTTCAATTGGATCATTGGATGAATCATCCCCCATTCACCATAAATAGATGTGCTATGTTTACTTACCACTCCCATCTTTTTGGGTGGTAAAAATGGCTTTGTTTTAACCACAGAAAAAAGGCTCTGGAACCTGGGGAATTCTCGAATCATCCCCCTGGGAAGCCCCTGGATTTGGGAGCCTTGAGTCACCTCAGTTGGCGCCCCCCCTCTTCCCGCTGTCGGCCTCAGAGCCCAATCTGCCAACTAAAGAGGGGAAAATGTAGGGCCTCGAGCGCTTCAGTCAGGACATGACTGAAACTCACCTCTCCGAGACATGCTGCCAACTCCACTTTGAGGAAAAAAACAGACGTTCTGCTTTCATGAAAATATCGACCCCCTCAGTAGTTCTATTGTCCATGAGAAAAACATTGGTTCGCACCCCAAGGTACTCCAAGTTGTGTTTTACTCCCAGAAAAACGCAAGCTTCCTGTGTTCAACCCCTTTGATTATTGGATGAACCATCATTTTTCATGGTGCATCCCCATTTGTGGGATAAACCTTTTTATTGTGGGATAAACCGTTTACCCTCTGGTTATTTAACATAGCCATGGTAAAGATGGCCCATAGAAATAGATGGTTTACCGTTCTTAAAAATGGGTGGATCTTTCCATGGCGAACTGTTAGTCATAACCAGATGGTAATAGATCATATAAGATGGATAGATAGTCCATCTATAGTCCATTTATAAACTATTTATTGTGGCAAAACAACCACATTTCATGGTGCATCCCCACAGCACCGCATTCACACGCCCAGCGCCGCGCCAAGGCACAGCGCCGCGCTGAGATCCGAGGTGTTCTCCACCAGGCTCCGCAGGATCTTCACGGCGCACTCGCGGCACTTCTCGCTGCGGTCCTCCGAAACGCTGGGGGAACGAAGCCGCGGGAAATCTGGCGGGAATCCATCCCTGAAACCTGGGAAAAATGCCAAAAACTAGGGCAAACTTAGGAAAAACTGTGGAAAAAAAAACATGAACGTGATATGAAGTCTATGTTAGGTATTGCTAGATCCTGACTTTCTGGAAATATCTGGAAATATGGAAAACATGGAAAACAAACATGGCAGCAAAGGACTTGGACGGTTTGGCAAAGTCTGGACAAATGGACTTCGGGGAAGTTGGGATCCTTGCCGTTCAATTTGACATTTCAATGATGAAAGATGGTAGAGATGATCAAGTCATAATTATCAATGGGAAAAAAATGTGGGGGGATGTGACTCAAAGTTGGCATCAGGCATAAATTAGACAACAAACACATGGTACAAGCCATGGTTTTTTGGAGTTCGTCTCACTTGTTGGGCCACTTCTTGGGGTGTTTTTTTGGTGCAATCGCCATGGGGCTCCCCTGCGATCCTTCATGCGCTTCAGCAACGGCTTCAGAAGCGCATCCATCACCGCATCGATGATGTCGGTCGCCAGGCTTTCCTGGGAGTCGCAGCACCGGTCCCCTGCGAAGTTGGCTGAAGTTCTGCCTGGTAGTTGTACCATATGCATAATTTACTATGGGGAGAACAGGCTGGGAACTGGGAACTGCCATGTTATCTCGTCTCTTTCTCAAGATTGTCACAATTGATCGTAATTGATATATAATTCTTGGTTGCATCCCGTGTTTTCTCGGAGATCAACCCAATATTCTGCTGTTGAAATTGTGTTACATCACTGCAATTTCGCATTTTCCCGTTTTCTGTATCAATGTTTCTCGTTTGTCGATTCCATCATCTCATTAAGTGGCTGGTTCAATCCATAACTTTGTTGGCTAAATCCCCTTTCAATCCATTTGCCAATCATGTTGTACCACTTAAAACCAAAATCATAAATCCATGGTTAAACATGCTGAAAAATACCCATGAGATAAAAACACGTTTGCATATTTTTGTTATATTATATCCCCATGATACCCGTATTCGGAGGTTTCCATAAATGGTGGATCCCCAAATGGATGGTTTATCATGGAAAATACCATTAAAATAAACGGATGAATTTGAGGGTCCTATTTCAGGAAACCTCATGATATCCCATTATAATCCCATTATAATGCCATGACAGTCCCATTAGATCCCATTATCAAAGGGATTCAAAGGGTATATCCCATTTTCAGTGGATGAACCTCCACCATTTTTTACGCCACGCTCCACGCTCAACGCCAAGGCACCACCTGCTGCACCAGCAGCCGCTGCAGCTTCTGCAGCGATGTCAGGCGTACGCTGAGGCTCTCTTCGGCCAGACCTAAAATCGGCCAGACATTTTGATCATGAAAAAATGGTGCAAAAATGAGGAAACAATAGGGAAAAATGGATAAAATGATGGAAAAATGATGGAAAAATTATGGAACAAGATGAAACCCACGAACCCAAATGCTCACACGTATGTTAATGGTACAGATGTCAATACACATGGTTATGCAGTAACGCACAATACCTTTCTGCAATAGTTTATTTGAACAGTCTTGTACATGTTTCCCTTGTTACCAGTCTGCAGTGTGGAGTGGAAAGTGTAGAGTGTGGAGTGTGGAGTGTGAAGTAAGGAGTGTGCAGTGTAAAGTGTGGAGTGGAGTGTAAAGTGTAGAGTGTGGAGTGTAGAGTGTGGAGTGTAGAGTCTAGAGTGTGGAGTGAGGAGTGTACAGTGCAAAGTGTGGAGTGTGGAGTGTAAAGTGAGGAGTGTGAAGTGTAGAGTGTAAAGTGTAGAGTGTAAAGTGTAGAGTGTGGAGTGTAGAGTGTAGCGTGTGGAGTGTGGAGTGGAAAGTGTAGAATGTGGTGTGTAGAGTGTGGAGTGTAAAGTGTAGAGTGTGGAGTGTGGAGTGTAAAGTGTGGAGTGTAAAGTGTGGAGTGAGGAGTGTAAAGTGTGGAGTGTAAAGTGTGGAGTGTAAAGTGTGGAGTGTGGAGTGTGGAGTGGAAAGTGTGGAGTGTGAAGTGTGGAGTGTAAAGTGTGGAGTGTAAAGTGTGGAGTGTGGGGAGAGGAGTGTAAAGTGTGGAGTGTAAAGTGTGGAGTGTAAAGTGTGGAGTGTAAAGTGTGGAGTGTGGAGCGTAAAGTGTAGAGTGTGGAGTGTAAAGTGAGGAGTGTAAAGTGAGGAGTGTAAAGTGTGGAGTGTGGAGTGAGAGTGTAAAGTATAAAGTGTGGAGTGTGGAGTGTACAGTAAAGTGTGGAGTGTGGACTGCGGAGTGTGAAGTGTAAAGTGTAGAGTGTGGAGTGTGGAGTGTGGAGTGAGGAGGGTAAAGTGTAAAGTGTGGAGTGTAAAGTGTAGTGTGGAGTGTGGAGTGTGAAATGTGGAGTGCAAAGTGTAGAGTGTGGTGTGTAGAGTGTGGAGTGTGGAGTGTAAAATGTAAAGTGTGGAGTGTAGAGTGTAAAGTGTAGAGTGTGGAGTGTGGAGTGTAGAGTGTAAAGTGTAGAGTGTAAAGTGTAGAGTGTGGAGTGTAAAATGTAAAGTGACGAGTGTAAAGTGTGGAGTGAGGGTGTAAAGTGTGGAGTGTGGAGTGTAAAGTGTGGAGTGTGGAGTGGAAAGTGTGGAGTGTAAAGTGTGGAGAGTGGAGTGGAAAGGTGTGGAGTGTGAAGTGTGGAGTGTAAAGTAAGGAGTGTGTAGTGTAAAGTGTGGAGTGTAAAGTGTAGAGTATGGAGTGTGGAGTGTAAAGTGTAGAGTGAGGAGTGAGGAGTGGAGAGTGTAGAGTGTAAAGTGTAGAGTGTGGAGTGTAGAGTGTAGCGTGTGGAGTGTGGAGTGGAAAGTGTAGAGTGTGGTGTGTAGAGTGTGGAGTGTAAAGTGTAGAGTGTGGAGTGTAAAGTGTGGAGTGAGGAGTGGAAAGTGTAGAGTGCAGTGTAAAGTGTGGAGTGTGGAGAGTAAAGTCTCAGGTGAGGAGTGAGGAGTGTAAAGTGCAAAGTGTATAGTCTGGAGTGTAAAGTGTAGAGTGTGGAGTCTAAAGTGTAAATTGTGGAGTGTGGAGTGTAAAGTATAGAGTGTGGAGTGCGGAGCTTCCCCCATAGACACGGCGACGCCACAGGAAAACCAGAGACTCGAGACGAGACACGTGGGTGCAAAAAAACGAGCATTTCGTGCGAGACTTCCTCCAATTTTGACATTTTCGACACGTTATCAAACAGGTTGGAATGTCACAAAGTGCCACGCCTGCCACGCAAAAGGACATGACAACCTGCTTGGGCACATTCGAATAGGAGATGTTTTCCAGCTTCCCCCATAGACACGGCAACGCCACAGGAAAACCAGCGACTCGAGACGAGACACGTGGGAGCACCACAACGAGCATCTCGTGCGAGACGTCCTCCAATTTTCACGCTTTGAAACATACCGAAGAGACATGTTTTGCAGCTTCCCCCATAGACACGGCGAAACCACCATAAAACCAATGACGCGAGACGAGACAGGTGGAAGCACCAAAACGAGCATTTCGTGCGAGACTTCCTCCAATTTTCACACTTTGTAGCTTCAAAATCGACGTTTTCCTACGAGTTTTCCTTAGAACATGAAAAATTGCAACCTCAAAATCGATGTTTCGTGCGAGGCTTCCGTCAATTTTCAGCACATCGCACAAAATGCCACGACTGCCACGGAATTTGCACCTTGTCGCCACTTGACGCAGCCCTGCCAATGCGATTTGCAAAAACACGCAACACGACACGTCTAAAGTGCTGCGCCTGCCACGAAAAATGACGATGGACACGTCCAAAGTGCTGCGCCTGCCACGAAAACTGCAACACATCTACTGAAAACGTCGCAAAAATTTGCGCCTGCCACGCAAAACGACTTTCGACACGTTGCAGAACACGTCTGAATGTCATGAAGTGCCACGCCTGCCACGCGAAACGAAGCAACGACACATTGGAAATCTCCAAAAATGACCACCTCTGCAGAACTTCCCATAGGCACGGCCATACGGAGTTCGTACGGACGGTTGCGAACGGTTGCGGACAGTTGCGACCACAAACGCAACGTCGAACACACCCTCAACCCCCAGACCCCCAGAGTGAAACGGGAACCCTTGCTACGCATTCGGGAAAAATTATGGAAAATTATGGAAAAATGATGGAAAAATGATGGCAAAAATGATGGAAATATGGGACTAATGGGAATAATGGTGGAAATCATAGGAAAATGTGGAGATTTTGGCACTGGAAAAATGGAGCTTGAAGCGACAAAAGCGACATGGTTTCTCTTGATCTGAGGTTTTGTCCAAGAATCGTTGAGAATGGACAGAAATTGGGGATCATCTGTCTGGCAAGACCTGTTTTTGTTTGTGGCTATGTAAGATCTAATTGTTGAAACCATGAGAATGTAATGGGAATGTAGTGGGAACATCATGCCTTCGCTCCTGATTGTAGAGCATACTGTTAACAAAATTGTATATATAACCAACAAATCTGAGAATGAATCAACGATTTTTTGAGGGGAAAATTACGGTTCAAGAGCCCATTTTATGTGGTCAAACAGTTTGGGTGTCCAGTTTCAAATCTCACTTCAAGCCAATGACATCGAGACGGACCGATCAAAGAAGGAAACCATTGCTTTTACCATCAAATATAAGGATACAATGCTCTGGTAAACATACAAAACGATGGAAAATCACCATGTTCTAGTTGGGATGTTGGGTAAATGGTAAACGTTTACATAACTAAACGGAAAATCACCATGACGTCACCATGCTTTTAATGGGTAAATCAACTATTTCTATGGCCATGTTCAATAGCAAACTGTTTGTTTACCGGTAATGTTTTCCTGCACCAATTCTACTGTGAAATTCCATCCCAATGAGGGTGCCAGCTGGTCAGACAGAACAACATGTCGAAATGAGACAGTGTGACATGATATTCAAATGTATACAATGTATACATGTTATATATATATATATATAGATATGTGATGATATGTGTGTGTGTAATTAGTCATCATTCAATATCATTTAATATAGCATGTCTCTGTTTATGACATAATTTGAAATTGAATGATATCGAATGCATACACAGGGACAGCAACAAATCACGCACAAATTTTATAACCGGCTCCTCCGAACATGCAGCAGTGGTGTTGAGCTGAGTCGCAGTTGATGTCACGCTGGATGTAGGCCAAGAAGATCTCAGGAGTGCCTGACAGCCCCAGGGCACCGCAGAGCTTGGACCGTTGCTTAGTGGTACTGGGGTATGGTACCAACTGTTCAACCTATATCCAAGTATCACTTCTTAGTGATACAAGCCACAAAAACACGAGTTTGAGGTGACACCACGATGATTTTTGTAGTCACAAATAGGCAACTTGAACTTCCACGGTGGTCATCAGCATCAGCTTCAGACCCCAGTGCTTATGTTGAACACTCGGCTCAAAGCGGGGTGTTCTCTGCACTGGCAAATATATAGCCATGTTATCACGTCGTTCCCATTTCTTGAAAAAAATG